GCAAATAAGTCAGCCATATCTAACAGCACATGCAAGATTTCACATACATAATCCATGCCCCTCTGCAAAGAAGGGAGGGAGGTGCATTTCCTCATCACAAGTTCATACTTGCTCATTATTTTACAGTATTCAGCTTTGTTGTTGTTGTTATTTCCACTACCTTGGTATATAGCTGGCACAAATACTGTTTTTTAAAATTCTCCTTACTTTATTCTTCATCAATTCATATATCTTTTCTTACTTCTCTGTATTTTTTATATTCATAATTTCTTACAGTATAGTGATATTCCAGTACATTCATGTACCTGAATTTGTTTAACCTTTCCCCAGTGAAGAGGTATATTCTTTGTTTCTACTGCTTTTCTTCCACAAAAAGTGCTACTGTGAATATTTTGGTATATATGAGACTTTACTTTTCTTTGATCTCCTTGGATTGTATGCCTAGCAGTGGGATTTCTGTGTCAAGGAGTATGGATATTTTAGTGACTTTCTTAGTTTAATCAGAAATTATTTTCCATAATAGTTGTACCAATTTTCAGTTCTACCATAGTATATTAACATACATGTTTTTCCATAATCTCCCTAACATTGACTATTTCTTTCTTTTTGTCCACTTTGCCAGTTTTCTGGATGTTAGGTAAAACTTCATTTTTATTACATTTCTTTTACTGTTAGTAACTTGGAAGAGTCTTTCATATTTTTGCTAATAGTTTGCAATTCTTCTTAGAACTATTTGTTCATATTCTTTGACTACTTATCCTTTGGGGATTGGCTCTTGTTCTTAGATATTTGAACTAATTCTCTATATATCTTGAATATCAGATCCTTAACAGAGATATTTTGTGCAAAGGTTTTTCCCCCTACTCACTAGCTTCCCTTCTTATTCTGCTTGTTTGTATAAAAGCTTTTCAATTTCAAGTAATTGAATAATTTAGTACATTTTTTTGTGATCTCAATCCTTTGTTCAGTTATGAATTCTCCTCTTAGCATAGCTATGAAAGTACCTGGTCTCATTCTTTTTCTGTTTTTTTTTTTAATGGTATGACCTTTTATATTCACCTCTAAGTATCCATTTAAAACTTATTATGGTATTTGGTATAAGATATTGGTTTAAACCTAATTTCTTCCAAATTGTCTACTTTTCCCATAAGTTTTTGTCAAATAAGAAAATCTTTCTCAAATAATGTGCATTATCAAATTTATCTAACACTCATTACTAAATTAAGGAAAACTTCTAATGTTTAAGTTATCTAGTAATCACCTAGATAATTGCTCATGCATTGAGTCTAGGCAGTAACTCTTCACCCTCACTGTTATTAGATGGGTCAACTTCATAATAGACATTTGATAAATGCTTATTGAATTGAATTGGTATTGCTGTCCAGTCTTTCTGATAGAAGTATACTGTCAGCTCTCACCCTTAGCCTTCCACCTCTCACAAAGAAACTGGGGCGTTATTTTTATACAAAGGATAACAGAATGAGCTTGTGACCATTTCATCATTCCGTTAAGTACTTGCCTACCAGGCCCCATTTTCCTTTCCTTTGCCTGATTGGGGTGAGGGGGTGGGATGGGGGTGTTGATCTTTCAGTAGAATAGCCAGTACACTGTAAGTATCTAATTCATTACTTTGTAAAGAATTTGAGGATACAGTGAGTATGAAAAGAACTATTGGAACAAAATTCCTCCTTAAATCAGTGTATTGTGCCTCTTCTGATAAGAATTGGAACCTGTCAGCTACTTGAGAAGCTGCAGCTTGAGCCATCCAACTATTCAAATTGGGACATGCTGATGAAAAGGCAAGAGAAGGGGCAGCCATCAGAGCACAGTACTAAGTGGAATTGTGGGAAACCATTCATAAAATGTTGTGGGATTTGGGAAAAACTGGTCCTCCTAATGGGCATTTTCCTAATTAAAAATTAAAAAAGAAAGTAATAGACATGGCAGTATTCACATCCATCTGCATTTCCTTTAGATAAAAAATAACAGGGAAGGATGTAACCTTGCCGTGTATCCCAATCTGGTGTTATTTTTGCGAGTTATACAGATGCAGAGCCACCTGCCAGCTAGACGCTGGACTAGCCATCAAATCAGAAATCTCTAGGATCACTCCTCAAATCCCTGCATTAATCGGAATGATAAAGAGCTACCTTTCGATTAATCCTATCCTGGACTTTAGACGAAAGATACTGCAGTTTAATTAAGTGAAATCTACTTTGTCTGATCTGCCAGTCTGTGCTGTAATGTCATAATATAATCAGCATCGCCCCCATCTGAAATACAGGGCTGTGAAGTCCAAGGACCTGTTTGATTGGAAGAAATAAAATGATGTTCAAACAACAACCAGCCGCAGTGCTGTAATTACCCAAACCTTGTTTGCATCTGTCTGTCATTCTCCCAATTGGCTTGTCATGACAGTGAGGGAGAAAAGGGAAAGAGAGGGGGTGACTGAAAAAGAGGATGACCTAATGGGTAACAAACTAGGTGTGGGAGGGTTGGGCCACCCTGTATAAAATCTTAAGGCTAATTAAACTTGGTGTTTCTTTTTAATATATGCCCCATTGGCTGCCACAATTTCTACAAAACTAAGCTGAACCATTTTGATGTCTGCCTGCAATTAAAATCATTATTGAGTTAAGGTTCTATAATTTTTCATTCCTTAAATTTTTTTTCTTTTAAAACTGGCAATGACTTAGCAATTTTTTTTCTCTCCCTGTATTCCAGTGTAGCTGCTGTTGAAAATGAGAAATAGAAAGAATGTTCCCAGGTTTTAGTGTCTCACAAAGATGCTAGAAATATTGTTGGATACTCCTAATGGGTGGACATGGACTCAGTTCTTTTTAAGAAGCCTTGGGACCCATAAAGGTATCCCAGACTTATTGAAGCTTCCCTGATCAACTGTTAAGTTGATTACCCATAGCTGAGGCAGGGTTACCCAGAAATGCTCTATAGCAACTTCAAGGGTGTTACCTCCTGGACCATTTTTACCTACCAGGGCCGGTCACTTCTGGGCCAATGAGAGAATAAGGGTGGGGTGGTTTAGAGAGAGAGGGAGCGGCTGACAGGAGAGGAGTAAGGAGAGAAAAAGGCTATAATGAAGATGGAACAAAAAAATCCCCTTAATCCTAAGGTATTGTACTAAGATTACAGAGAAATTTTGATTCTGTAGGATCTGTAGAGTGATTTTTGAAACCTCAGGTTCAAAAGCTTTGCTCCATTCTGAATTTTTCCTCTCCTCTGACCCTTGTAACCTACCAGTTCCTCAAATGCCACATAATCCTAGAACTGCATTGATTATCTCATATCTCCAAAGTAGACGCTTTTTCCTACCTCCTTGTCGTTACAAATGGCAGCAGTATTTTTCTAGTTACTCAGTCTCTAAGTTTCAGGAATCCCTTTGACTCTTTCTTGCTTTTTGCCACTGACATCTCTAGTCACCAAGTCATATTGATTTCTTCTCTTGCCATGTCTCTTGGATTTATCATTTCAAGGAAAGGTTTTGATGAAGAGGAGAAAGGAGAGTACATTCCATGTAAAGATGGAGGTGCTGTATAGATGGGGATAAAGATGATCAAGGAAGAGGAACATAATATGGAGATGATGTTTAGAAAATATTAATTCATCACTTGTGTACAAAACAAATTTGAATAAAAGATGCCAAATAGGATGCTTATGAAATCCAACTTTGAGATGATGAGGCCTTGGTGTGGTGTGATAACAGTGAGAAATTTTTCCTCTATGTATCTTGTTTTTATAGTGTCTTTGCATGTTATTTCCTAATGAAAGAAATAAAGTCTCCATGAGAACTGTTGGATTTTCGTTTGCTTTTCTTTGTATTCCTAGCACTTGGCACAGTATGTGGAATATAGTAGACACTTAATAAATGCTTGTTAACTTGACTTACTTGGTAACTGATTGACCAGAAGATATAGATTTAGGAATCAGTGGTTTAATGATGATCGTTGATCATAGGGGTATATGGGATCTCTAAGGGAGAGAGATTAGAAAGAGAAGTTCTGACAAAAGCAGGATTGAACAGAAAAATAAAACAAGGGAAGGGAATTAATTAGGTTATGCACCCTCTTCTAGAGAATCATAGCTAAATAATCCTACATACATATGGAAGATGGAGTGACATACATGTTACTAGCTCGATATGGTAAATTAATGTGACATCCTGTAGAATGGAAGCTGCTGTGCAGGACGTTTGGCCCATGATTATAAATCTACCCATTTTGCAAATTGCAATTAAAATCTGACATGAGAAAAGGAAGCTAAACAAACCCGTACCCAAAGAGGCATTTAGATTTAGTACGGGATTTTCAATGAGGCTGTCATGTGATTTTTTTTTTTTTAACTTCTAACCAACAAGATGAAGTTTCCCTTCATTATAGAGTGGAAAGAATACTGATTTTGGAGCTGGAAGGGCCTTGGTGTCTAGCACATGTGTGTGTGTGTGTGTGTGTGTGTGTGTGTGTGTGTGGTTTCACAGTGTTAATTTCCATGACTTCCAAATAGAGATAATAGTCTTTGTAGTGGACACTCCAGAGGTTTGTTGTAAGGTGGTGAAACAAAATACGTAATGTTTTTTACTAGGAAGTTTTTCATTAGCAGCCTTTGATTGTTAAGAACCTTAATATCTCTTTGCTGACCAAAGAGAGACTTCGTGCTGAATCCCCAGAAACAGAAGAACCTGATTCTCCAAACATATCCCTTATGTGAAACTTGGGGTTAAAAAAAAAAATCCAAAATCCCAACCAGAGCATATTCTTTAGCATGAAACAATTCATCTGCAACATGGCCTTGCTGATATCAGTCCCCTGTTTAGATTATATTGTGTCTCATGAGAAAGTTTTGCTTTAAGTCACAGGGTGAATTGAGAAACAGTTGGTAGCAAGAAACTCAGATTACCCTCAAACTCCAAAAGACTAGGCTGAGTAGGGAAGTAGAGGGGAGGAAAGAGGAAGGTGATAGTATTGGAAAAAGCCACACCATGATAATGCCATTCATGTTTTATTTTGTTTCATTTTAAAATGAAATGAGTGCAGACAGATCCGACTGCATTCCATTTGTTTCGGATGGAAGAACGGTCCCTCAGGCTCCACAGGAGATTCAGTAACAGAACAGTGTGGGCGAGCCAGCCTTGCATTCAGTGGCTGTGCACCTGTGGATATAAAGAAACCTTCATTATGCAGTGTTCTTGAAGTCTTACCCTTTTGTAATCCCCAGGTTCCTCAGCCTGTGATCAGTGTGTTCATGTCCATAGTCACTTTATTTTCCATATGACCTGAATGCCCTCCATTTTGAGATTACAGTGATAAACCACTGCCTCTTTTGACCTCCTATCTTGTTTTCACTCCATATTCTCACCCACTCCTGGGATTGTCGTCAAAACACTCTTACTCTAAGATCAGACTCTTCCAGGGAAAGGTGATAAGCAGAAACAGCAATGACCATCCCTCATTTCAGCCTTCTGTATTTTGTCTCTTCCTGCATGTTTGGTTTTTAAGGTTAAATTTTAACTAGTTAGACAACTGTTTACAAAATCGTTGCTTGATAATCGGAGTTGGTGCTTTGCTTTTTTTTTTTTTTTGTTCTCCCTGGGATTAATAAGATTAGGGTTTAACTTAGTGAAACAGGCCATAAAATAATAAATAAATAAATGAGATGAAAATAAGATTATTAACTCAGGAGCTTCTCTTTAGGGGTTTTCATGACCCAGAATGGTATTCTTATTTGAGTTTGAGTGAAGGGAGAAAATGTAAGACTGTACTTCAACACAGCTTAAGGGGTTTAAATCTTAGACCTATCATGGAGGGGCATGTGCCAAACAAAGGGTGTAATCATTTTCCTCTTTAAGAAATCAAAGGTCATGTCCTTGATTCATGATTTTTGTATCATCACAGCTCATAGAAATAGCTGGGTTGTATTTTGATGTTATATTTAGCTAGTTTTCTTCCTTTACTGTGCTGTATTGTATTCCTTTATGGCATTCTTGCCAGCCCTCTCATATACCACAAGATGTAGACACTACTCAGGTCTCAGATGAAAGATGATTAAATGTTCAGGTGCTGCCCTCAAGTAGTCAGAAGGCCCATTCCTCCCAGTCAGTATTAAACTCTTTCTCCATGTGGCAGGTGAAGACATGATTGTGTTCCAAAGTGCTTTTGGAGAAACCTTTGTCCTTTAAGGAAGGGCAGAGAGACACAGCTCAGTTTAAAAAAAAAATCCAGATCCCCTATTTTAATCAGATAGAACGTTTTATTTCAATTCTTGGTTTGTTTGTTTTTTCGTCTTTAGTCATAATGTACCTAAAAAACATCTTTGTTCATGGTGGCAACAGACATATCATCAAAGGACATTCTAGCAATTCCTGTGGATTGTGATTCTATGAAAATCATGAATCAAAGATGTGATTCTTGATCCTGTAATATAGGGTGTGCATTGGGGTAGCTATGGGGTGTGCATACATGTTACTAGTGTGATATAGCAAGTTAATGTGACAGCTGGAGGAATGGAAGGCGCTATACGCATTTGGCCAATGTTTATAAATCTTCCCATTTTGCAAAATACTAAGTGATGATTATTTAGGGCCCCTCAAAGTCATTTGCTATTGGCTCTCGCTTGAGATAAGCAGAATAAATGAGTAAAACAAAAATAGCTTTATTGTGGTGTGTGTACATTTACACTGCCCAAAGACCAAATGAACAAGAAAAGCATTTACTAGGAGTTTACCATTTACCAAACACTGTGCTGAGTGCTGGAGAGACAGACAGAAAAGAAAGACCATCCCTGCTTTCGAGGAGTTCCTATTCTGCCAGAGGGAGACAACACATAGGCAGGTTCCATCTGCAGGCCATGCATTTCTCCATTTAAGAGTAATTAAAGCAAGATCCTCAAAACTTGGCTATCTTAACGATAACCTTCACATTGCATGCTATAAGAGAGGTCTATAAGCAAAGTCCTATAGCAAAAGGACTTCTTTCCTTGAGGGTTTGTTGTCATCTAAGTAATTGTTCCCTTTTATGTAGGTATGACTTAACACGTAAAGGAGGATGGGGGAAGATAACAGAATCATTTCAAATATCCCTCACAGTGCCTGACAGAATGAAAAATTTCCAAGGACTGTAGTTTTTCTCCTTTTTACACAAATTCCCTTTAATCATCTGCAGTCCAGATTTCTTGTATCATTGTCCACCTCTCCCCCCTTCTGAAAGTAGCAGAGACCATAAATGTTTGTCTTTCTCCGTGAAACTGTCAGAGCCAGATGGAACAATGGTGGTAGAAGGTTGGAAAGGGGAAGCTGGCCAACCAAAGGTATGTTACCACTTGGTAAAATTAACATAGCTACAACTCATAGAAAATCAGAGCCATGACCATAATGGCCATGGTTGGCAATGGATGTACCCTTGACCATCTTATGACATTTGAACTCAAGAGCTTTTAGACTGAATAAATAGAGAGGAAAGAACCAGCAGTCAGAAAGGTAAAATGCCAAGTGGAGGATGGAAAGGGAGATGGCATAAAGGGACACAAGTGTTCCATAGTGAGGGCCCTGCAGACCAAAAATGATTGTGTTTCTAACGCTATTGATTTTTTCAGCAGCTGATATTTCAATCTGGGTGCAGTATGTCTGTGAGTCTATGCACACTGTCAAGAAGAAATATGATAGTGTCTTAAAAGATTAATAATATCGCTGGTCCTCTGGAGGCCTGTCTTAATTCACTGGCCTGTTCCCTGGCATGTACTGTAATTTATCTAGTCTGATTTGAATAGCAAATGGCAATCGGCTGCCATTAGGGAAATGGGCATCATTCTTATTGATCCAGCATGGGCTGGATTTTATTTAAGGAGAGCTGCAAAATGTTATTAACTTCAGGAGGAAAAACTGAAGGGAGAGAGGTTTCCAAAATATAATTTTTTGGAAATGTTCTACCTTAAAAGGGGAAGGGACTCAATGGACTGTGTATTTAGGAGAATAGAAAGAGGAGATCAACATGCTGTAACACATTCAGTTTGTTTTCAGCCTCCTTGTTTACCAGTGGAAAGCCATTTTCATGATGATGAGAAAAAAATATTTTTCTCCCATTGAAGGAAACAGTCAGTTCTGACATATTTAGGTGAATAACTCTGGGAATATCCCATAATCACTTATTCAATTTAACAGTCTGTAAAATGGGTTAAATAAAATTCTGTAAAGAATCATGCAGTTTAATTAGTGCTTGCTTCATAAGCTGAGATTGTTACATGAAAGGTATTGAAAAGAATAAAACATAGGAAGAGCCAAGAGAGAAGAATGTTTAATATTTGGGGGAAAGTGGGAGAGGAAGTAGAACATTTGCTATTGCTGTTCAGTCAAGTACACTCAGAGAAAAACTATATTCTGGTTAATGCATGAAGAACTAGCTTCCTAATTTTGATTATCCATGATGGGCATTTCACAGACTAATAGCCTATACAATTGCCCTTTAAGATTATCCTGTTAGCTGCAAACTCTAAGCCTATATTACAGCTTGTTCTTGCATCATTGAGGCTAGATATTGGCAGCACTATGACAAATGTCAGGGAAATTCAGCTGGACCTCAGTCTTCCAGCCCTCTCATTTTCCTAACAGTAACAATAAAAAATGCAATAAGGAAGTGCTCCCCCCAGCTCCCACAGTACCGTCCCAATCCTCTCCTTGTGATTTCAGCTCCTTTATAGACTAGGGAGGAACCCTAGCAAGAGCAAGGGTAAGAAAAGCTGTCAGAAAGGTGGCTGAAAGTAGGAGTTATTGTTGGTAAAATTCTTCTTCATTCCACCTCAGGTTGTTATGGAAAGAGCTGATAATGTGCTACAGGAAATGGCCAAATATAAAAGCAATAAAGTAAATTGAAAATGACTTTGTTTTTTTGAGCGGCAGTAATTGCTATATGTTGTGATGTTTGCATAAGGAATTAGTTGATGTGTAGCAGAATGGCGTGTGATACTTTTTATTTGCCTGATGACTATAGTCTCTGAGTGAATGACTTATTAAGGTTAATAAAGAAAAATTTGCTTGTGACTTGTAATGATCCAATTGTTAGAATTTAGCATCCCCTTATGCATTGTTGCCTAAAGGGGGAAAAAACCCACATGAACTCACACATTAATGACCGACTGGCTATGATTTTTTTTTATAGTGGTGTGAGAACAAACAATGTCTTCTAAATTGTTGGTCTGTCTATCTTTCTGCCTGCCTGGGCAGGAACGTTATGGCTTTCTTAATTCTCCTGTGTGATTTATCATCCTAAATTCATTGTTTTGCATAACTCTGCTTAAAATGAAGAAATGTCATTATTTTGCAGCGAAAAAGTTGTCATTTGCATAATGCCTGCCATTAATTATTGTGAGACTAATGCAGTTGTTGATATTTTTAGGGCACAGTGGTACAGCCTGCACCTTGTATAATGTCATTCTGAAAACATTGGTAGTTAATAGGTGCCACAACATTGCACAAATGGAAAAAAAGAAGAAGAGGAAGGGGACACAATGGAACAGGTTGTGATCTTTATTTAGCATTTTTTTTTTCTGAAATGCTTGGTGAGGGAAGACTATAAAAGGAAGCTAACAGAGCAGGAAGCTGTGACACCCAGGAGAACAAAGGGATAGAAAAGCAGAGGTTCTCTATTTAGCCTGTGTTTAATATAAGCGGGGTTCTAGTCAGTATCATGGAGAAAGTAAAGCTTCTGTTGGTTCATTTAGGTTTATCTAATTGAAATTGTGAATGGAGAGTAGGGTTTGGCTTTGGGGACCACCAGCTCGGGAGAGTCCTTCTTCCAAGATGCCTTTGTTTACCCTAGTAGAGAATTCTTCTTTTTAGGCAGGTAGTTGACTAGAATTAAGAACTGGCATCATCATTCGTCTCCTAAAGAAGATGACTCAGGATATGCTTTTTCAGGTTCAATCTGGTCTATTTCTCCTGTTATTTCTTCTATATAGATGTATATGGCTTTAATCTGAGTGGAAACAGAAAGGAAAAAAAAATAGCAGTATCTCTGAGAAAGAACATTTTCTCTCAGTCTGAACAATAGCATTTACCTCTGTATAGGAGTCTTTGGGCCAGGCATCTCCTATTAAGGCTCTCCATTTCACAAGCATATGAAAGTCAGGTATAAAACTTCATTGGAGATTAAGCTCATTACGCTCAGTCTGGGAGGCATAAATATTACAATAGTAAGCAACCGTTGATCTTGTTAGTCAAGGGAGCTTAAAAAAACACAAACACACATCAATAACACTTTTACTGTTGCCATTGGCTTTATGATCCTATATTTTTAAAATCTTGTTGTTTCCTGATTATTAATTACTTTTAAGTGTAAAAGAAACTAGTCTACAAATGTTGGTGCCAAGATTATTATGTTTAGACTGAACAGAAATAATCTGACAGATGATAGTGCCCTTTACTATCTAGTGCTACTGAATTTTTATTATTATTATTATTATTATTGTTTTTATGAGTACTATGTTTAA